TTTATGTTGAATTAGCTCCTAGATATATAGGAGAAAGGAGATTTAGGACGTAAGCATACAGACATCTTGATATACAAAAGCTCCAACTTTGATGATTTGTAATGGGTGGGGTTTTTGATTACACCTCCATTGAAGACACATGCACGTGATTGCTGCCTCTGGACTGAGTTGTCAGGAGAACATATCCTTTCCCCCTTGCCCATTCACAATCAGATTTGCTCCCCTGACAAGGAGAAGGCAGCAAAAGTACAAAGGCTGTTTTCCTCACCAGCTTGTGCCCAAATCATGATGGGCACATCATGGCTTCACCACGCTCATGACGGGCATACATACACAAGACTCAGCCTGGATTGTGCCATCTTACCACGAACAACCAGACCAAGCTTCAGACAAAAGCCAACCTAGAGGCACCGCAGTAACTTCTTCTGATGCCTTTTCCAAACAGAGAATTAATTTCACTAAGGGGAAGAAAGAAAGCAAGCACCACCCAAACTCAGCCCACGACTATTCACGGCTTGGATTTGTGTTTCAAAGAGACCTGGCTTGTATCTTAGGCTGATCAGCTGCGACACTTGAGTCAGAGCAGCTGACAGAGGGTTTGCAGCAGTGAGGTCCCTCTATTAGCGCTGAGAAGATTCCTCTTCTCTGGTGCCGGCGTTTGGCGCAACTCACTGAGCCCCACAGCGAATAGTGCCAAAATTCCTCCCAGTGCAAACCTGAATAAACCCCGGCAAGTTCTGCTTCTGTAGAGTCGGGAAAGTTTGTGTTCCTCCACACCTGATTTCGAAGTTATTTAAGGAGCAAATCGGCACCATCTGACTTCCCTGAGAAGAGGTGAGCCACACTGGGTGAAGTGGCAGAGCCTCAGTGCTGGGTGAGCAGCTCCGGCTTGTCGAGCTCCTCGGCTGCCCATGCAATGCGTTTCCTCGAGGATGGGTCTGGGATTGCAGGGGAAGAAAGAGACGTGTGACAGGACCACAGCTACCTACGGCCATCGGAGCATCCTGCACCGACATCAAATCAAGAATTAGTGCAAAGCTTTCTGACGAGTGATGGAGGAGCAGGAGCTGAGCCCCAACATCTGTGCTATAAAGTCCATTTGATATTGGGCTAGGGAGCTTTCAGCTGACCATGGCTCCCAGCAAGTGCCTACAACTGCAAGTTCAGCAGAAGCTGACTCACAGGAAAAGAGTATTATGAAAACTCAGGTTTGTGTCCTTCTGCAGCTGGATACGCTAGCTCTAACTCTCTTTCACATTCCCCTTGGGGTCCCAAAAATCCCCCACGAGCAAGTGAGCGAGCCTGCTTTCACAAGGACAGCAAGACGCAGCTAGGGAAATAAGCTCCTCTTCATTATTCCTTCTGTCCACTTTATCTGCACAATTTTTCCTGAGATGTTAGCTCTACAAGACAGGAGCTCTCTCCATACCCCTTGCCATGCAGAAGCACACAAGGAATATCCAAAACTTCGGCAGGATAGGAGGGTCCTGCATACAAACACTGTTCCTTGTGTTCAAACTCTCTTAACAGAATTTCTCATAGTTTTCAAAAGTATGTGCTGTGTTTTCCAAGTGGCTGTAAGGTGTTTATAGATTGTATCCTCCAATGTATTTAACACCTCCAGCTGCTACAAAGAGAGACAGTTTAGCCACAAAGAAATAAACCCAGACCTCAAGAACAGATAAGAACAGACAAAAGAGAAGTTGCAGAAATCCTATCTTCCCACAGAAAGTTTAATTCTTTGGGAAAGAGGGAGGAACAAAGCCAAAATTATTTTCTGGATGAATTTAAGACACAAAGAAATTATTCTTCTTCAGTCACCTCCTTTGTCCCTGCGTTCCCATCACACAGATGAGAAAGGTTTGCTACCCCAAAACTAGCCTTGCTAACGAAAAAGTAAGAAAAAACCCACACGTTAGAAGACAAACAGCTGTCTCCATCTCCCATCTTCAGTACCCCCACGACGCCGAGAAACCACCAAAAGATATCTTGAGCACACAGGATGCACATTCACCAGGTGTTACAGCGGTTTTAGCACCATCACGTGCCACGTCTCCTGCAGCCACCCAAACCAACTGCTTTGCTTTTTCACTCATCCAGCTATCTGATAACAACATGCACTGTGGAGCGAGGGTTGTACCTGAACTTGTAATTAACACTCTCCTGCTCCTACAAATCCAACTTGTAAAAGGCAAATCAGATGTTAGTAAAATAAAAAGAAAAAAAAAAAAATTTGAAAAAAAAAAATAAAAAGAGGAGGAGAAGATGAGACCACTCTAACAACAGCAGATTTAGGAAAATTTGAAATCCTCCTCATACATCCTCTCCCCTCCAAAAGCTGCACTACAGTTTTCTTCTTGTGAGGCTTATTAGGCACCTGTCTGACTACAGATCTGTATTTTTAATTTTACAGAGCAAGAATGTAAAGTGTTTGCCTTTTTTTTAAAAAAAGGCTTTTTTTTTTTCCTGACGTGTGTTGGTGAAAGTAACTTTTTTCCCATTTCAAGAAAGCTTTGCTCTCTCTGTGCCAGCGTAGTGAGCCAAAGCCACCTCCATCAGAGACGGTCCCCGTCCTGGGTCCTCCCGCTTTTCTCCGGGGGTGCATCCCCCGGGCGGTTTGCAGGCAGCCGGGTTTGCGCTGGGGGCAGAAAAAAAAAATGATCCAACGCCCCAGGGCGGCTTTTTAATCCTGCCTAACACCTCTGGGCAACAGATGCACCAACAAGAAGAGGCTTTGTCATGCAAATGGCAGGGCGCAGGTACACACCACAGGGCTGCTCCACGCACAAATGGCCCGGGAATAACACCCCAGGGGAGACCTCCACCTCCGCATCTCTTGCTCATCTCGGCTGCTCCTTGTCCCCCAGCCCAGGCACGTCCCCCCCAAAACGGGGAGCAAGAACAGACCTGCGAGGCGGCGGTTGGGACCCCGCAAAGGTGACGAGGCAGAGCAGCGCGGCGCCGGGGCTGTGGTTAGCCATGAAGCCAGCCAGCGTGTCGTCTCCTGGATGCGGCGTTCTGATCTCGCGCGCGTTAAAACCCAGCTGTCAGCCAGGAGACTAACAAAGATTATAGTTCAATTAAACAAAAAAAATTATTTAATAACTCAAGCGTGTAGCCTTGTGGTTAAACTGAAAGAAGTCCAGGCTTATGTCAACATTGCAGCCTCGCAACAGCACTATTTTACCGAAATTGTGGTGCTGCTCTAACATGCAAGAGCAACGCTGAACTAAGCGAGCCCCTCGGATGTTCGGCACGCAGCTTTACAATTCGAAAGCGGATGCGTTTCCCCTGCTTCTCCCCTCCAATGTACCCACATAGGACAGTTGCTCCAGTTCCTGAGCAGACAGCCTCTGCAAGGAGCCGATATTCCAGGGGCATCGATGCTGGATCCATAGAGAGCGAGCGGCAGCCCCACGGCACACATACACAGAGAAAATCCTCAGTGAATAATTAAACTGGATTTTGTTGTTCAGAGGCTTGCACCAGCGCTAGGGGATTTCTTAGGAAGGTAACGTGGGAAAGAGGGGGTAAAAGGTCTGAAGTTTCCCGGTCCTCAAAGGGGCAGTTTTGAGTCTCAGTGCCCTCTCGAGAAGCTGCATCCTTTTCCCCATGATACATCCAAACTGAAGTTTTCTGGAAAGCAGCGTTTACGACAACAAATATCAACAGACCATGGGCATCATGCTTCACCCTAAATGGCTGTAGGCTTCTGAACTGTAATTTATACACAAAAAAGGCCCTTTTTAAAAACAGAGCTGTAGAAAACAATATATTGCACTGTTTTTTACATCTTTCAAACACAAACGGTGACATATATAAAGGGCAGATCCATGTGTTTCCCAGTGCCAAACCGCCCTGTCATTCCGAATCCGAACATCCACTAATTTAGCACGCTTTGCTACTGTCAAGTTACCAACACAGATTAGGCCCCCTCTTTTTTGTTTTTGAAGTCAAAAGCCACAGCCCTGAAGAAAAATCAAGAACATCGGAGAGCAAAATAACGCCAGTTGTTTGACGGAGACCACCAAGTAAAAATCTAAGAACCAGTAAGACGGAAAACTGCTTTATCACAGGGAAATAACAGCATCCAACTTCTCATATCACAGCACACACAACTGCACTGGCATTTTTTCCAGCAGGATGCCTACAAGCAAATTTGTTTCCTGCTCCACTCTGGTTCTACTAATATAATTTCCACAGCTCATTTTAACATTGCCTCCCCATCGCTCTATGCATATACCAAGAGGTTTACAAAAATAAATGGGAATTGACTATCCAAAATTAGAAGCACATTAAAATCCATCAAACATGCATCAATGGAAACCAGAGGGACAAACCTGGGACAATCAGTGCCCACCAAAACGTAACGGAAAGCTGTAACTATTGCGTCACGGTTGATATTAATTCCTGAACAACCATTTCACAATTTGTGGCTGAAGATACAGAGTATGTTTCAAAGCAGTTCTGCCAGATACATGAAGCCTTCACACAGAGCAACTGACAGCAGAAATAAATATCAATCAGCAAAGAGCAATGCCGTATCTGAAGGCAAAAAAAAAAAAAAGAGAATCAAATCTTTTCATCTTACTGACAAGCAACTTCAGCAGCTCTGCCTCCAGCCCTCGATTTTCCTCAACAAACGAAGAGTTAAAGCCAGAAAATTCACATCTGTCCCAGTCACTACAAAGACTGCATTTACATCATTCCACCATACATTACCCTAGAGTCACAACCCAGGGCTCCCCCCCCTCCCAAAGCCCCCAGCCCTGTTCAGAGGCCGTCAGACACCCCAGACGTTAACCTCAGCTTTTCCACCGCAATCGCGACCAACACCTCTACGAGCTCTGAAACTCCGCCGGACAGAGGCTCTGAACAGCAGAAGCGCAACCTTCACCGTAACCGAAGCGACCCAAAAAACCCCGGCGTGAACACGCGCCGCAGACCAACCAGGAGGAAACCCAGCTCGCCAAAACCGGTCTTCGGAAGAGATAACTCACTGTTCTGGGGATGGGTGGCGACAGAGATCCATTAGGCATGTACGGGTCGTTATTCATATTTGGCATCATGATATACCCAGAATAACCAGAGTATGATGGTCCCTTGCTGTATAAGCCACTGTCTGGATGCTTTCCTATGGAAGAGGAAACAATGATTACATTATTCGCCACACACGCATTTCTTGTAAGTTAGAGCACTTAAACAGGTACTGTGCATTCACAAAAATGTTCTGCATGCAAATGTTTCCTTACTCGTGGAAATCACCTCTGACAGAAAGTGGTCCGCACAAATTTGTAACAACGTTTTTTTTAAGAAGAGCTAATTCTTAAAGGAGCAAGTACTCTCAGTGAGGAGTTTATGCTCAAAATACAGAACAGCCTCAGAGTAACCAGTTTCTTTTGCTAGCCTCTGTTCAAATCAAGGCAGAAACATCAGCAATGACATCACAGTTCTCAAGTAGCAGTTTTCCCCCATTTTATACATCCCTCTAGGATTTGTGGATTCAGAAGTATTGCCAGCATGGGTTTCCAACATCATTGTTAGGAAAGGGAGGAACAGGGCAGTGATAACTAGATACAATTACTCCCTTCTCTCGCTGAGCCCTGAGCCACTGTGTGCAGCAAACAATTCTTTCTGCCCATGCTCACCGGGAACAATTGGAGGGCAGGGGCTGGCTTGGAAGGAGACACTAACAATTTTGGGGTAAGGGGAGGCGGTTGTTGAACACACATGGCACTACGGTCAAGAGAGATGCCAAGTGAGGGAGGCTTCTTTGTAGGAAAATAAAGAATTTGGGTCCAGGTCCTGCAAAGGGGGACAGGTCTCCCACTTATACGACCGTTGACAATGATACTACTTGACAGTGAGGTTTTAAGACGATGCAAGGCTGAAAAGAAAACTATACAGAGCTGATCTCCTCCCTCTCAGTGCCAAAACGCCAGGAGCATGGACATTATTCCTTTTAGGCTGTTTAACGACCAATCTGGAGAGAGATTGCCACAGAGTCCCGGAAAGCACCAGGACCGAACTGTGACTGTCTTTATTTGGAATTTCTGATCTGGTTTAGTTTGTGATGATAAGCATTTCATTTTAAACATAGCCTCCCATCCTTCAGAGCACACATTCTTTGTACACGTGTCCAGCTTCCGAGGTGATATTCAATGAACTCTGTTATTTTCTCTGTCCTCCTCAATCAAAATTAACCAGCTGGTACATTAAAAAAAAGCAAGAGGTCTGTTCATGCTTCGATTTGGAAGAGGAGATTTAAGCGACAGACTTTGGCTATGGGGAAAAAAGCACAGAGTTTCTGAACATACACAACTCAGCTGCACTGTACAAGTGAAGAGACAGATGTGTTTAAGCTGATATCCTAAAAATAGTTATTTCTTCAGTGAAGATCCATTTGGCCTACTTATCAGTTCCTAAACAACTGAGATACCATTTGGCCACTCAAGATAAACGCGCTGCACATTCATCTCCTCTTTAAATGTGCTTTGAAAGCTCCCTGGCATCCCCCTTCCCCAAAAGGTACTAAATTTATGTTTCCCAAAAGAAACCGAGCTCCAGTTCGAGGACCGTGCAGAGGGTCAAAAGGGGACTAAGAGGAACAATATTGCCAAGACAGGACAGTGCCCTTCTCACCTTCCTCGGGGTGCTCTCTGCCTTTATCATGGTAGGAATCCTGTGCTTGAGCCTGCCTGGAAACCTGACCGCAGGGAACCCACCATCAGAAAAGAAGCAGAAAAGAAGAAAAGTCATTGTATGGATGCTCATTTATCGATCACGGCCCTACAGCTTCTAGTAGAAAGAAAAAAAGTTAGGGCAAGAGATAAGCATCTTTCTTTTCCGTCTTAAGTCGCTCGGAAGGCAACTGTAGCAGAAACGTTTGTGTATGTAAAATGATCGGTTTCTGACAACATCAATAACTACGGGGCTTTGCAAAGCGTTTCTAGCAGAAACGCCCTTCATTTAACGAAAGGGGCTTATTTATGGAAAATATTTGGAGCTTCGCCGGTCAGAAGACGCTCAGTAAAGAAATATCAAAAATAATAATGAAAATCAGATTGCCTTCATTACCAGATCTTTAGAAAGGAAAAAAAAAAAAAAAAACAAAAAAGCGCAGGTTCCCCGCTCGCCCCGAAGTTATTTTAGCGTCGGGAATTTCTTCCCAAACAGTTTTATGCAAATCCTTTAAAGAGTTTATGACTAATGCTTCGACCCCGCTGATTTTACAGAAATTTCATGGCTGCTGGAGGTCTAATACCACCGCACCGTCGGGGGACTCGCGGGAACTTTCTCGTCCCGGGCCAGAGCACGGAGCGGGCCGCCCC